ATTAAAATTAAATGAATATATTGTGCAAATTTATTTTGAATAATTCTTAACCATATTTAGATGAATCTAAAATTACACTTTTAATTTTCTATGCATATTTTTGTATTTTATTTCTTGTATTTGTGCAATAACGTTTACAGTAAAAAACACACCATCATAATTCAACTACAACAAGGATAGCCATTCAACCAACTAGCTGATATAAATGTATGAGAAAATATATTAATTTTGACTTCTAAATTATTATTAAAAAATTATTTCAATCTTTGTTATTTTTAATAATATCAATTTGTATTTGAATTATTCCATTTTTGCATTAATTTTACTCTCACCATCAATTATCAATTATATTAACAGAAAGTTATGATATGGCACCCAAGTTCATTTGAAGTTTCATTTTATCCCTCAAATTCAATTAAACTCTTGAATAAACATGAGTTTACGTCTAATTGATATTAGAGATAATTTGAGGATTAAAATAAATTCCAAATGAATTCAGGTGGCTATTCAACCAACTCCTGTTTGAAGAATCATAAACACCATCTAAAGCGATGATAGATAGTGGTAGCGGTAACGAGAATGGTCGTGTGGTAAGTCCGTTGTGGATCATCAACCCTCTCATTTTGTATATAGTAGATCAATACATTAGAAATATCAGGAAACTCATACAAAATATAAGAGTTAAAAATAACGAAAAATATTTCTAGTTCAAATTTCCTTACTCTTAGCACAGTGAAGCTCAACATTTGGATTAAATTCAGACCAAAACGTATTTTTTTGGTCTTCTGTGTCTAACTACCTGGTTCCTAAATTCATCACGACATAGTACAATGAACAAATCATAAACCATAAAACTCCAAACAATAGAATCAATGAAGCACACAGTTTCACATAATATAGTAGATTAAAACAACACTTAGAGCGCAACCCAACAATAAATAATCTTCAAGGCTATACCATATGTAACATGAAATTTATTCCTGGGGAAAAAAATAGAAAAGAAGTGCACTCAAACAACTACAACGCACCACCCCACATCGCAACCTACAAAGACAGAGAAGGGAAGAAAAGCCAAATCATTGTGATTTCACTTGCCATGTTCACTTATTAAATTGGCCGCCTCTCACTGCATAGCTGCTATACATTCTCTTTGATCATATCAACGAATCGAAAATAAGCATGTCTCCAGTTCTTCTTGAACAAACAAAACTCCAATAACTCCCATAACCCTGTGGCAATGCCACTCAATTATAACCAAGTAAACCATACCTTTTCCCAGACTGACATCTTCCTTCACTATGTTTCTCAATTACTTTGGATGGTGAGCAGGTTGAGAATGTTCGTCATTAGAGCATTTCTGTAACAAAGTCCCAAAGTTCACTATTGCCACATAATAGAAGGGTCATCAAGAGTTTGGAGGCTGATTACCCGTGGGATACGTCCTGACGAGGCTTTGTATGATAAGTTTCAATGAATTATAAAAACTCAAATTTGACTGCTCTCCGGAATTGTGCCTGAGAAAGTTATATGTTAGAGACAATCAAAGAATTCAATGACTTTAAGGCCACGATCTTTTAGGCGTGCTTCTGTTCGAAATTTTGTGCGATAAATTAAGCCGAAGCAAACCTGAAAGAAAAGTGAGAGCTTTCAGGGCGTTCCAGTCAGATTATTCCTCGAAAGATCCATGTTCCACTAGATAATATAATGTAGTGTGTATTCGGAGTTTCATTTCCCTTAATGTCATGTATCATGTTCTCAAGAAAACATTGAGTATACTCAGGTCTTGAATGTTCTTCAACCATACCAGTGAGATTGCCAACAAACGAGGGATGGTTTTTTCCAATTATTGTTATGCAAGGTCTATGATTTCGAGACTGACAGTTGACATAACTGTAAAGGAACTTGCATTAAACATATTCTTGTGTAGTCCTCAGATTCCAATGATTCTAATTCTCCAATCCAATCCAGGTATGTTTCCAGAGAATCCATTCTCACCAAGATCAAAAACTAATAAACTGTGCAATTTCGCAAACCCATAGGAAGCTCTCCCTAAAACTATTGTTACATTCAATGTAACCATCCCAGTCTAGACAAATGTCCAAAGAGCCTTGGATACATATAATCCCTGAAAGCTTGTTAGATGAAAATTTCATAACCCATAGATTTGGGATTTCCCTTGAATCCCCCCAACACTGAGGAAGATTTCCAAATAACATATTCTTAGAAAGATCTAATTCATCCAAAGTCCAAATTTTGCACAATGAATTGGGTATCAAACCATTTATCAAATTGTCAGCTAGTGACAAAGTAAGCAAAGTAGGCACCATATCGCCAATATTTTGTGGAAGAGGTCCTGAGATATAGTTATGGGAGAGTTGAACAAATTCTAAAGTGGAAGGCAATTTCGGAATCGGTCCACTAATATGGTTATGAGAGAGATCTAATGTCCAGAGAGGCATGTCAAGAAGCCATTTAGGGAGGGTTCCTGATATACTAGTATTGGAAAGATCCAATTCAACAACTTTCTTTTGTGTTTGAAGCCATTGAGGAAATTGAATCCCTACTCTACAGGACCCCATTAGAAGGGATTTCAATTGAAAAGGAGGTATCCAATCAGATCTGACCTTCAATGTCAAGAACGCAGAACTTGTTCTCAATTCTTCCAACATTGAGAGGTTGGACAAATGAGTTTCAGAAAGTACTGCGCCTTCCAGGGAATTAGAAGAGAGATCTAAGATCTTGAGATTTGATAATTGTCCAATAGAAGCAGGAATGGTCCCATTTAACTTATTGTAAAAAAGATTTAGTACTCTCAAGGCTGATAGATTCCCTAGCGACGGTGGGATGACCCCAATAAATTGATTAACGTGGAGGACTAAATTGTGCAAGGATGACATTCTTCCCAACCAATCTGGAATCGAACCATTAAACAAGTTCCATGAAAGATCAAGGTATTTCAAATGTTTAAGCTGCCCCAACCAATTTGGTAAATGACCAATGAAATCATTACCACTTGAACACAATGTCTCTAAATTGTACATGGTGCAACTGGACAAATTTCCATAAGAAATGAACATCCTTTTGTCAAATCTGTTGCTACTCATATCAAATGATCTCAAACTACATTGATTTGACATTAGACTCAACATCCCACCAACATCATGAAATGCATTGTGGCCAAGATTGAGATGTTCAAGACTCTTAAGCTTTTCCAGATAGAGAGGAATAGAAGAATTAAAATAATTGAACGAAAGATCAAGGAATCTTAAAGAAGTCATGTTACTGAAGCGACTCGGAAGTTCTCCTTCAAATGAATTAGAACTAAGGTCTAAGTATTGAACATTAGAAATAGTAGAATTCACATGCATATGAGATAAATGAATGTTATCAAGTCCACATTCTGATAAATGCAACTCTAGTAAACAAGGAGTCATGTTTAGTACCTTGTGTAAATTTTGCGTTTGACTAAGATTCACTTTACTCAAGCCAACGTATTGCAATGATGAAAGACGATAAACCCATGTGAAATCATCTACAGTTACTTGAAAATTATGATCAAGATCAAGAACACGCAAGCTAGAAAGATTTCCGAGGTGATGGGGAACTATTCCACTGAATGCTCCATCAGACAGATTGAGATACCTTAGTTGTGCCATCGATCCAAAGAACTTTGGGATTGGGCTATTGTTAAAATTGTTTCCGGCCAAGTCCAAGTGATTCAGATATTTCAATTGAAGCAAACAAGAATGCACTTCATTAGCCACTAACCGAACAATATAGTAGAACCTGGGTGCGAATGAGTCTACACCGAGATCAAGCCTAACAACGTGGCCAGTAATTTCATCACATTGTACTCCTTTCCAACTGCAACAATCTTGGCTATGCCAAGATGATAGTCGACCTGTATAGTCTTTGAAACTATCTTTGAACTTTAGAAGAGCTTGTCTCTCTTCTTTTATGCAACCAATGGTTGAAGCATTGCACAAACAGGACAAGGTTGTTTCATTGAAAAGCAAAACAACTAGGAGGAGTCCAATAGTGGAGAATTTCCTCATATTGAACTTCATCTAGTTCTCAAAGGCACACAAGACAATGTAATTGGAAATAGGATCACACAGGATGGTGGATCTTATAGCAGTATCATCTACTCTATTCAGGAAATGCAAGTTCCAGTTGCAATATAGAATGGGACAAACTTGTGCGATTTTGGTTACTATAATTTTAATTGGTTCGATTTGGATTTGAGAAATGTTAGAGATCACGAAATTTTTTTCATGAAAATGATCATGAAAGATTTGTGATCCTTAGATTACATTGATTAGAATGTGGTGTTTTATTCTAAATGTAATCCAAATGTTACAAATCTTTCATGATCATTTTCATGAAAGACTTTTCATGATATCTGACATTGTTGTTTTGATTTTATATTTATAACTTTGTTTTAATTTGGTCCATTTGATTATAATTCTTAATATTTTTTTATAAAAGAATATGTAGATAAGTGGCATGCGTCATACTTTTAAGGACAAAATTATAAATTTACTCAATTCAATTGGTTAATCTCAATTAATTCAACGATTATTTTCCATTAAAAGCACTAACGATATTATCAATTCTACTAAATTAATACAAAATTTAAAATTAAAAGTCAAAATTGAGTTAACTAAAAATATAAAAATCAAAATGACACAAATAGCAAAATGTAAGAACCACTAATATAATTCACTATCTAAAAGGACATGACAAATTGGTTGAATAATTTTAGTCACTCGCAAAATTTAATCCAGAAAGTAGATTATAGAGCATAAATTTGAAGTTAATATTTTGTCAGTCATAGTGAAAATAAATTTTGTCCATACATTTTGATTCCAGATAAATTTTTGAATAAATTTTTTTAAATGGTTTTTTTTTTTTATTACAGAAAAATCCTTTCACTCTCCCCCAGTTTTTGGACAGCACCTTTTACAAAGATCACCAAAATATTCTATTGCTGAATTAAAGATATTTTTATTCAAAATGTTGACAATTGAAGACAATCACCACCACCTTGGAAGGTGCATGGCAATAATTTCCACGACTTAAAAATTATCTTAGACAAGTCAGTCAACTAATCCATCCATAAACATCAACCTCATCAACACAAGTCAGTCAACTAATCCATTCATAAACATCAACTTCATCAACAAATTAGAGTGACGACATACCAACCCCACATTCAGGCGGCCTAGAGACTTTTAAAAAACGAGACTTTTATACATAATTAAAAATATATATCGTTTTTCTAATTAAAAAATGAGATTTTTTTTTCCTATTATTTATTTATTTTTATTTTTAAACTAGTACTAACACAAAATTTACTTACATATATATATATATATATATAAAAAAAATTACTCAGTGTGTTTGATTTTAGTTTTTTAAAAAGTAAATTTTTTGTTTTTCGTATTTTTTTATTAAATATTTTTAAAATTTTAAGCATTTTTTTAAAAACTTTTTTAGATGCACCTTACTTAGATGTATTTAAAAAGTAAAATATTTGTGAAAAAATATTTTAAAAATTAATAAATACCAAAAATACAAAAATATACTAAAATTCATAATTTTTTTAAAAAAAATATTTTTGGTATTTAGTGAATTTTTTAAAGATTTTTTCCTCAAAAATTATACTTTTTAAGTGTATTTATGTTAAGGTGTGTTTAAAAATAAAAATAAAAATTGCTTAGAATATTAAAAAAATTCAGTAAAAATAAAAAAAAATACGAAAAATAAAAAAGTAAAATTTTCTGAAAAGTAAATTCTAAAAACTGAAACAAACAGAGTGACCTAGTTTTTTTTTTTTTTAACTATTCTATGCATGAAAATATTAAAAATATTAAGTAATAAATCTAATTTTAAAATATTATATTAGTGAATAATTCAAGAGAACTGCTATTTCTCACTTTATTTGCTCCAAATACACTCCTTTTATTTGTCCTTACTTAACAGCAAACCCGTGCAATGCACGGGAAAAAAAACTGTATATATTTTATGTGATAATAAATTATTCTAACATTGAATTATGTTAATTTTAATAGCAGCAAACTATGATGTTAGGCCATTGTGGTAGATGTTAACAGTAAATTAATCTATAAAATTTCACAATAAAATTTGATATGCATAAAATATTGTTAATTATAAAGATTGTTGGGGATAATAGTATCACAATCACTTGATAACATAAATAACCTTGTATCAGACTAATAGTGTCATGTAGAAAAAAACAAAGCATTAAAAGAGAAATTTTAATAAGTTATCATAAATTTATTAGACTTTTAAATCAGTGATTTATATTATTATTGTGGGACCAAAATATGAATAAATCTCACTTTAAATTATAATTATAATTTCTAAGTAATTTTTGAAATTTTTAATATACAATCTTGTTACATCTCTATCATAAAAGAACTTCTCAACAAATCTTTTAAATGGATCTTGTTAGCAACTCTCTACCTTTGATCTCCTCTATAGAATGACACATACATTCATATCAAAGCATAAATCCTTATTGATAACTTGAATCATTGCACCTAGTTCCTATGGAAAATAGTTCTTACATATAAATAAACATTGATTAAACATATTCTTAACAAAAATAAATAAATTAATAAAATAAATAAATTAAAGATACAAAATTTTCGCTAAGGATTATAAAATTATATAAAGAAAATAGTTTAAATCATTTATTTATATAAAAAAATGATGGACAAATTATTTGAGATTGTACTTGAAGAAATGTAACACAATGATCATTTAATCATTATATACCAACAAAATTATATCAGTTATCACGAAAAAAATAGTCGAACGTAACTAAAGTTATGGATATTAAATTCATCAGTTGGCTCCAATTAATATATAATCTTACCCAAATTAATATAATAACAGGAAGATATCGACAAATATATTGTTTTTCTGTCATCTTTGTATTATGTTCATTACTTTCAATATAATATATCGAACAGTTTTACTCGTCTCAATCGTTTCAATAAAAATAAGCACAAGGAAAATAAAATTTGATAAGAAATTAGTTCTAGAACTTTATTATTAAAAATAAAAATTCAAAAAGAGATTTAAAGAGATTGAAATAAACTATATTGCAAATAGTAAAATTACAGGACCATTATATAATTACTCATCTAAAGGACATGACAAAATTGATTGAATAATTTTAGTTACCTGCAAAATTAATCCGGAAAGAGGATTATACGAGCATAAATTTACAATTAATATTTTATCAGCCACA